ACTCACAAAGGCACGGTACACTCACAAAGGCACGGTACACTCACAAAAGTTCAGTCTAGGACCCATACACTGAAACAGTGGTACAAAGGCTGGGTCCTGTTACCAAGTCACCCTGTCATTTTACCAGTACAACAGTACACAACCAGCTTGGAGTCAGTCCCCTGAACTGAGGAGATTCTAAATCTCCTGGTTATATTGATCAGCCAGGGCTTTCCTGATTAGCCCAGGTTAACAACCCCAATCAAGGATCTCGTAGTCTATGCAATCCAGCTGGTTCCAATCACTACACTGGGTTTCTTAGTTCAGTTCAGGAATTTGACATTATGACCAGAAGCCACAAGTGAATACCTTTAAGCCAGCAACATTACTCAACTGAGTGATTCTGAAACTCTTTGGTTTCATAGATTGTCAGAATGAGCAAAGTTGACAAAAATTATCTGCAATACTAAGTTTGTCCTAAATAATATTCATCTGTCTCATTGCATGTAAGGGGGAGTTTTGCCAAATCAAGAGATTTCCAAACCTCATGTGGAAAGCAGAGCAGCCCAAGTGTGCTAAACCAGTCTTCTGGCTGTCATGAGGTATTTAGAGCAACTCTTCGCGGAAGGAATTGCTAAGTAATTTTCCATGCAAGATACAACTCAATAATTTGTTTACATGTTTAATATAATGAAATTTCAAAAGAATCAATCAGGAATTCTAAATCAGATATCTCAAAAAAAAAACATGCAGACAGACTGGCAAACTCAATGTTTAATCTGTATGAACAGTCTGAACTGCAGTGCACATTCTGTACAGCATTTAAATCTCCATAGCAGTCTAAATTCTAATTTTCCTCTAACTTTCTCCATTCCTTTCCTGAAGGCATTCATTCAAACTGGAACATGGTTCATGTTTGGCAGACATCCTATGCCTCACTTAAGTTGGCATTCTTCATATGTGAATGTTGGCATGCCTTGCCGTCATAAGGTCACCTCAGCTCAGCTTGATTCGATTTCATCCCAAGTCCACAGATGTACACTTCTCAGCAAAAATTACCAGATGGTCATCATACGTGGCTGACTCCTTCCCACCCAAGTTCTCTGCAGCCAACTGTACAATCATGCTGACAGATCTCCATGTTCTGTATATTCTAGCCAGTTTTAATCACTGCCTCACTGGTGACTAAGCTTTTAATTCTCTGTGCTGTAGGGCATTTTGGGTCACCTGTCCAACTATCTCAAGCATCTTGGTGTCAAGTTTTCTTTTTTCAGTCACTCTCCTGAATGACCTGAGATGGTGTAGGGAATACACAGGGGTATAGAGGTGGCACAGTGTTAACTAAGAGGCCTTGGGCTGACAGTGGTGATTTTTTTTAAAAAATAAAATTGTTCCTCGCACATGGGCCTCACTGGCTGGGCCCGCACGTATTGTCTATCCCTGCATTACATTTCCGTGGGTCTGGAGTCACATGTAGGCCAAACCAGGCATGGTGATTACATAGTTGCCTTTAAGCTAGCTTTAAATTACGGATTTTTCCAATTGAATTCAAATTTCATCATCAGTCACGGCAGTAGGCAAACCTGTGTCCTCAGAACATGAGGCTGGGACTCGAGATTAGTTGGTCAGTGATTTACCACCTGCCCATCTAATGGGGCATGGGCTGGCATGGGTGATCTGAGGGGCATGTGCTGGGTATGGTGGGGGAAGAGGTTCAGGGGAACTTTGTACACTGTTAAGAGCTGGGATACCGCATTGGAGAAGCAGATAGACACCTACACTGGTTCACACCTCTCAAACTGCATTGTGAAACCAAAGTGGCATGAGAAATTTACACATGGGCTGAGTGAATTTGTGAGGAGTCAAAGTGCAGCTTCCTCCAAGCCCAGAGGAAGATTATGGCCCTAGAGTTTCCCCTGGGGATAACATGCATGAGAAACCCTCTGTTCCTCCTGATCAATTCCTATTAATCATCTACAGAGCATTAAGAGACCTAGTAGTGATATGGATTTCTCTCCTTGGTCAGGGAAAAGGGCAGGATTGGGTGACATTAAAAATGAGATTGGAGCTTGTCTTAGAAAAGGAGATGATGAAAAATGTAAATTAATCTGTTCAATTATTGAAAATATTCATAAAATAACTGAATAACAGTTTAATCAGAAATACTGGGACCGAGGATTAGCTCACTTCTGCCTCAAAACTAAGCATCAGTAAGTAATGCAATAGGGTATAAAGTCAAATAACCACATCGCAGAGTAATTTACTGTTTAATTCCCCCTCATTCTCCAACTGCATGCAGGCACACTCACAGATAAGATGAATTTCAGAATAATCAAATATTCATTTTACAGTATTCTCTGGATTCAGAACATCATGGGGGAGAAAGTGTGGACTTTTATATTCAACACCCCTTCATACTTACTTGTACGTTAGGTTGAAATGATCCCATTTCTGCATTTGCGGAGTTAATGTGTACCTCTTCTTTCTTGCCTGATGCTGGAATGTGGAGTGAACATCGAACACCAGCAAACTGGAAGGTACAGTATTTTCCTAGAAGTTGAAGCATTAGTTGTTTATAGAATTGACTGTTGAACAGAATTCTTATAAAGCAATCACAATAGGGTCACGCTGATTATGGCATGGTATCTATTTGGTTAATATTCAAATTTCAGTTAGGTTAAAAACCACAGTATAAAGAGAAAGCAGGTATCTGACAACCTATTAAACACTGTCATGATGTATACGATCCCCTAGAACTGCAGCTTGTGCAAAAAGCATTACACTTTTACTTTTATTAGCACTGAAAGAGATCAAAATATCCCACTGAACATTAAAACATTAACTGATATTTAGGTGGAAGTACAGAGTTTTGACATGGTTTACCTGAGTATTAGTGTGGAGACCAGCTGTGTAATATATTATGTCAGCTCCCAAAGCTGCAGATTACCAGACTATAAAGAATCATTATTTTATAGAATCACCACAGAATCCCTACAGTGTGGAAACAGGCCATTCGGCCCAGGTCCATACTGGCCCTCCAAAGAGTATCTCACCCAGACCCTGCCCCTAACAGATTGTCATTCAGTTTCATAAAACACCTTGAAGCATCATGATGAACTAGAAAACCTGTGCACTGAAAAATCAAACCAAATTATGGAATTCATTCACGTCATCAAACTGAGTCTCCACTCCAGCCCCCCACCCCCTGTCCAATGGTCCCTCTTCACTTTCACACAACCTGCTAGCAGCAAGAAGCAGAAGTAAAGCAGCAAAAACAAAACCATTTTCTAGGCTTGGGCTAATTCACTATAATGAGAACAAAATGAATTATTTGCAGTTTAGATGTACGTCCCACTGGAAAATAAATATTTGTGATAACATGGAAGGAGGGGAAATTACCCTGAAGCTGGGATTGCTTTGGGTTTATTCATTTTTCCTCTTCCACAAAGCCACTCTGAGCTCTGTTTGGTCAAGTTGCATTTGTTGCAATCTCAGTTTCATAGTCAATTTAATCATTGCTGTACTGTAGAAAAACGTGGCAGCCAGTTTGCCTATAGCAAATCCCCACAGATTCCTTTGTTTTAGTATTTTTGGTTCTTCTTCAATTAGTGCCATGACACTTTGTTTTAACATTCACCTGAATATACCTGAGGGGCAGATGGGCCTTGATTTCGTGTCTCATCCAAAAGCCAACATCTCCAATAGTGCAGCACTCACTCACAATTGCACTGGATTATTTGAAATTCAGAGGACAGCATTACCCACTGAGCCAAGTATAACACCTGCCAAGAACAGAAATAATGTGCCCTTTCAGACCAACACACTTTTGCTAAAACCTTTTCTCAGTAAATCAAATTTCAAAGACCACACCAAACATTTTTAACAACAATTGAATGTTCCTCAGAATATGTCATAATCAGAGGTAGGTGACACATCACATTGATACAGCACTTTGTCAGACAGATTGGCTCGGACTTCACATCCGACATCTCAAGATCTGGCTAGATCCTGATGTAATCTTATCAGTGAGAACAAAGAGTGAATGAATTTTTAGCAAATCTTTATAGGAAAGAGGAATAATTAGTTTCACTGCATCAGGAATATATCACTTATACAGTATTGGCAGGAGCTGAAGATTCCTTTCACTCTATTGATTCCTTGGAACAGAGGAAATGAGGAGAAATTGAGTAAAATGGGCTTGTGTTATCTCAAGTTAAAAAGAACTACAGTCAATATAATTGAAACATATGAAATGCTTGTAAGATTTGAAAAGGTAGATGCTGACACTAGAACCATTCCCTGGTGGTCTAGTTGTTAGGATTTGATGTTCTCACCATTGTAGCCTGATCCAATTCCCAGTCAGGAAACTATCTTTCTAGTTTTTTTGAGGAAGTGGTGAAGGGGATTGATAAAGGCTGGAGTGGACGTGATCTATTATGGACTTCAGTAAGGTGTTCAACAAGGCTCCTCATGGTAGACTGGTTAAAAGGTTAGATCACATGGAATACAGGGAGAACTAGCCATTGGATACAGAACTCACTCAAAGGTAGACGACTGAGAGTGGTGGTGGAGGGTTGCTTTTCAAACTGGAGGCCTGTAACTGGCGGTGTGCCACAAGGATTGGTGCTAGGTCCACTGCTTTTTGTCATTTAATGTAAATAACTTGGAAGTGAATATAGGAAGTATGGTTAGTAAGTTTGTAGATGATATCAAAATTGAGGTGTAGTGGACAACCCAGAAGATCATCTCAGAGTATAACGGGACCTTGATCAGATGGGCCAATGGGCCGAGGATTGGCAGATGGAATCTAATTTAGATAAATGTGAGGTGCTGCATTTTGGAAAGTCAAATCAGGGCAGGACTTATACACTTAATGGTAAGGTCCTGGGGAGTGTGGGTGAATAGATCCTTGAAGGTGGAGTTGCAGGTAGACAGGATAGTGAAGGTGGTGTTTGGTATGCTTGCTTTTATTGGTCAGTGTGTTGAGTACAGGGGTTCGGATATCATGTTGCTGCTGTACAGTACATTGATTAGGCCACTTTTGGAATACTGCATTCAGTTCTGGTCTCCCAGCTGTAGGAAGGATGTTGTGAAACTTGGAAGGGTTCAGAAAGATTTACAAGAATGTTGCCAGGGTTGGAGGGTTTGAGCTATAGGGAGAGGCTGAATAGGCTGGGGCTATTTTCCCTGGAGTGTCAGCAGCTAAGGCGTGATCTTATAGAAGTTTATTAAATCATGAGGGGCATGGATAGGATGAACAGCCAAAGTCTTTTCCCCAGTGTAGGGGAGTCTAAACCTAGAGGGCATAGGTTTAAGATGAGAGGGTGTGATTTAAAAGGGAACTAGGGGGCAACTTTTTCACGCAGAGGGTGGTGTGTGTATGGAATGAGCTGCCAGAGGAAGTGGAGGAGGCTGGTACAGTTACAACATTTAAAAGGCATCTGGATGGGTACATGAATAGGAAGGGTTTAGAGGGATATGGGCCAAATGCTAGCAAATAGGACTAGATTAATTTAGGATAGCTGGTTGGCATGAGCAAGTTGGACCAAAGGGTCTATTTCTATGCTGTACATCTCTACAATTCTAACTAGGAACAATTTCAAAGGGATTTCCATTTATAATTATGATGAAAAGAAATTTCTGCACTCAGCTGGTTGCGAATCTTTGTAAGTCTCTGCCCCAGAGGGTTACGGATACTCAGTCATTGAGAACATTGAAGATTGGGATTTATACACCCTGTTGGGCTGTAAGGGAATTGAAGGATATGGGGATAGGGTGTGAAGTGGGGCTGAATTGTTGACTCCTGCACCTTTTACTGGTACAGTTTCTGCAGGAAAATATTGAACAGAACTGTGCACTAGGCAAGGCACCGAAAAGAAACATTGCTATCAACAAGAAGTTCATAGCAAAGGAAGTCAAATTGTGGAAATCGCCTAGCTCTGATTAGTGCTGCATTACACTGTTTCAAATCCTGAAAGAGAGAGTGAGAACAGTACCTACATTTTTGCTAAACAACTTTCAACTGCAGCACAAAAAAATGAATTGCTAGATTAGATTAATAAATTAGGGTTTCCAGATTTCAGAGATAACCCTTTCTTTATTCTTCGTACACCAGTTTAATTTTAGGTAAAATATTATCAAAAACAGAAGCAGCGGGCTTTAAGAAATTCCAGCACTTAAAGGTTTAATAAAGTTTATACTCACTAACTGAGGTCTCCAAGCAGGGAATGCATCAACAGATTTATCTCCAACTATGAACATGAACGACACTGCAATGCATATTAAAAATTTAATATTTGTCAAATAATCATCTTCAGATCTTCGAAAAAACTCCATCATGGTCAAAGTGGTGACAGTTCGTTTTCCCACGTTCCCTTCAGTGTCTCAGACTCAGGCCACTCTGTCCAGGAGCTTGTCTAGAGATCATTGTCCGCTTGCAGTTCCATTTAAGAAAGATTATTAAGAAAGTGGGTTTTCAATAACTCTATTTAGTTCAGTAGCACTTACACAAACTGCATTTCTGCGTGGCTGTGACAGCCAAACAGTATCACGTTACTTCAAATGTACATCTCAAAAATCTCCATCCATCAATTTGAAATTTAGCCAGGAACAGCTGGGCACACTGCAACGTCTCTGAATTTGGACTTTATTCAGCATTATAATCCATTTCAGATGTACAGTCATTGGTGGAAGTACATAGCAGAAAATTGCAAAATGAGCATATGCTGGAATTAACTCCATATTGGACAACTTACATGACAAAGCACAACATACTGGTCTTGAAGCTGCATTTGTCAACAGAATCTGTGCCTCAATGCAACAGAATCAGAGAAAGACTTTTCCTATATAATGCTACCTGCTGCAATGTATTGAAATATTCTATTATATATTGATACACATATACAAATGTGTGTATCATGAGTATGTGTGTGGCTGTTAGTCTGATCTCCTTAGAGAATATGTTTAAATATATCCCCAACTTCCTTCCACTCTCCAATTATAAACAAACACACCAAAGATCGGAAACTTGATAAAATAGCTCCAAACATTTGAAGTATTCATAAACTGAAAATGTTCAAAATGTTCATCATGTCAGGCAGCATCTGTAGAGATATTACAAACTCTGAAACATTAACCCTCCTTCTCTCCCCACAGAGGCTACTTGACCTATTCAGCATTTCCTGTTTATATTTCAGATATTCAGCAATCGAACCATTTGCCTTTTGTTCTTAGGAGCGTGGTGGGTTTAATCTCGAGCTGACAGGCAGGTGCCAGCAATAACAGTTGATGTAGCAACAACCCTGCAACACACATTTATTCCTGTCAAAAGCTATTAACTTTAAATACTATTAAGAGGTCTTAAGCCCCACAAAGAATCCTTTAGATAGGAAACATACATTTCTTTTATCAAATTGTCTACTTTTTTGGTAATTTTTCTAGTTCAGTTTTACATTAATTGTGAGTTTTTTCCCCAAATGTTATGATTTGCAGCCACAGTGGTTTATCTCAGTTGGGAAGTTGTGATGATACGCACCATAGACTTCTTCATAGAAGCTGCCAGTGACAGTATGTGATTAGAGCCTTTCTTCCTGCATTGCACCTTCTCAACAGGATGCAGAGTTACAGGCTTCAACAAAATATAAGACAACTGGACGGAGGCCCGAGATAACAGAGTATGGAGCTGGAGGAACACAGCAGGTCAGGCAGCATCAGAGGAGTAGGAAAGTTGACGTTTCGGGTGGGGGCCCCATCAGACTGGGTAATTATATTGAAGGTAGCTCCTCTTTATGTTAAGTAATTTTGAAATCCTGTCAGTTTGTATGTCTAAACTGAGCCAAAATCCTGAATGTGATTGGATCAACGCTATATATGTATTCCTTACTTTCAACACAAACCTCCATGGTAATCTATACAAATATCCTACAATTATTTAATCAAGGTATTTGATATCATAACAGATGTATTTTCTTGTTGTGTTGCCAAAGGGGTGTATTACTCCTTCAAAGTTAACAATAGTTGACCACAAAGTAGGATTCAGCTTCACAACAAAGAATTCTGTATTAAATTTGTGTAGCAGTATTTTATTCACAAGATAGTTTGTATACTACGAATAAAACATAAAATACAAAGGAAGTAAATGAACTATCCATGGACAATAAGAGACAATAAATAATTCGAGAAATTAAGAGATAATGCTGAGTTGCATATGACAGATCCTATCAGACAAGACTGAGCTCGTAGCCCACTTGATTAAACAATTGAGTGTCAAAGCCATGTTTACGCCAGGCCTCCTGAACATCCTGTTGAAAAGCTGGAGGGACATTTAGTAGATCCACCGTGAAGCCCATCCAATGCTGCAAAATCATGACAAAGGAAGGTGGTTTGGGTGGCCTGCAGCAATGCATTAATGACTGCATTATGCCAAATATCAACTTGTAGAGTGTGCGGCCCACCCTCTGCTCATTGCTGCTTCAGAATTCTATCAAAGTTCCACTGATATGATCCCAATTTGCTTGGGCTATTGAGCCTTGTTGCAGACAGCCATCTCTGGGATTCCCAGTTCAATCCCATGACAGTAGGAGCGACCAGGGTGGGGGGCAACAGGATGAATGGGTATTGAGTACCGACCACCATTTCCATCATCTCTTACAGTTTGCACTGTTTTTTCATTTTGCAGGAGTAAATATTTGCAATGTTTCTAACTGTCTACTGAAAAGTGGATTTTATCATCTAGAATTGGTAAGGTCTCGCTGTTCAGTTGACAGAGAGATATTAGCTTAAGTTGCAGGAAACTTATAAACAGGGACATCAGATGGGACATGGAATAGGGTCATCAGCTTGCAGGGTGACAGGAGGGAGAAAAATTAATTACCAATCTTGTTGTAATTCAGCAATGAACTGGTGAAAACGAAAAGAAAGCTTGAAAACATCACAAGTTTTATTTTAGAGAGCATAAATGTGATGTTTTAATTAAATCATTTGTTTTAGAAAGGAATGGGATCAAAACAGACACAACTGAGCAAATACCTTCCAAAAGTAAACACAGTCTCAAACACTAAAAAGACCAAAGGCAATATTTAAAATGTGAAACTAAAGAAGTGCATGTACAACCGAACACATTCACAAACACCAAACGAAATGGATCAGGTGTGATGGACCAGATACATTGGACTGAGACTGACATATTCATCTGGCACAAGTTCACTTCCTGTCTGTGTTACCTCAAACTGAAACTCTGAGTGTTAGGGATTGATTATTGTATGCAAGAAAGACACTCTGTATGCCTTCAAGAGGGAGCTGGACCAGTTCTTGACAGGGATTAAGTTTAAGTTTAACTGTCTTTGTAGCAATATTTAGCCCGCGTAGCTTCCTGCAAGGGAGGGGACAGAGAGGAATGTTATGGAGTTTTACTTTCCCCTTTGGTCCTGGGTATTTTATTTGTAGAAGGCTGTGAGGGAAATTGGGAAGGGACAGAGGAAAGAGAGGTAGTGCATGGCGCTCCAGCTATGGTGAGGGTGGGGCAGCCTTGGTGGACCAAATGGCCTTCCCCTGCCCATGATTTTTGTTCACTTGTATATCAAAAGAGGATGAACTGTGTGAATTATTGGAAATCTGGAGGGAAAATAAATGAGGATGAAGGGAATGTTATGATACAGTTCTTTACTGCAGGGGGTGAGGAGTAGGAAGGTGTGGTACATTGGATTTGTTTAGCTGTATCTGCAGCTATACCTTGGGACAGGTGTGGCAGTCCTTGCTTTATTTCCAGGCGTACATAAGAAAACAGGGAGATGTTTTCTATGTGAAACTTGCTTGGTTAAAATTATCTTTGTTCATTCAGGAGTCAACAGAAAGAAAATAAAAATAAATCATTTGTCTTTCTTTCAGTCTTTGAATGGACTGAGCTTGAATTTGCCTTCCTGGAATAAAGGAGCAGGGATGATCAGGAAGCTAGGCTTGCATCATCCAGCTAGAATTCCAACACAGTGATGACAGCTTGTAGGCAGCCCTAATCCACACTCCTTCTGGCTACCCCAACCACTAACTCCTATCCTAAACTTGTCCTGAATGTGTGACCATTCTACCTATGTCAAAGTAAAAGAACTATCTTTCGCAGGATAAAACAAAGAGGAATGGCAGGAACAGTTTAATGCAGATAAATGCTGGGTGTTGCATTTTGTTAAGACAAACCAGGGCGGGACTTACACAGGTAATGGCAGGACCATGGGTGGTGCTGTCGAGCAGAGACACCCTGGGGCACAGGTATATAGTTCCTTGAAAGTGGCATCATGGGTAGACAGGGCAGTGAAGGAGGCATTTGGCACGCTTGCCTTCGTCAGTCAGAGTACTGAGTACAGGAGCTGGGACATCATATTACAGCTATGCAAGACATTGGTAAGGCTGCATTTGGAGTATTGTACAGTTCTGGTTGCCCTGATATAGGAAGGACGTTTTTAAACTGGAAAAGGTGCAAAAAAGATTTACAAGGATGTTACTGAGACTGGAAGGTCTGAGTTATGAGGACAGGCTGGATAAGCTGGGATTTTTTTCCTTTGGAGCATAGGAGGCTGTGGGGTGACATGAGGGTCATAAGATAAATAATGAGGATAAATAAGATAAATAGCCAAGGTCTTTTCCGGGTAGGGGAGCCCAAAACTAGAGGGTATAGGTTTAAGGTGAGATGGGCAAGATTTAAGAGGGGTAAGATTTAAAAGGGATTTGAGGGGCAACTTTTTCACATTGAGAGTGGTGTGTATATGGAACGAGCTGCCAGAGGAAGTGGTAGAGGCAGGTGCAATTATAACATTTAAAAGACATTTGGGCAGGTACATGGAAAGGAAAGGTTGAGGCTATGGGCCAAACACAGGCAAATGGGACTAGTTCAGGTTAGGAAACCTGGTCAGCATGGATGAGTTGGGCCAAAGAGCCTGTTTCAGTGCTGTATGACTACCTCAAATACTTGTGGATAGTTAGAATTTATGCAAGGGTTAAAAATCCCTAAAATGTTTGGGAAATTTAACAAAAAAACGCACTGGACATTATTTTGGGAATTTTACTGGGATCAAGAAGAAAATGTCACAATGTGATTAAACACAACACATAGGACAGAAGGGTTCAAGGAACTGACTTTGATTATCTCAAATATAATAAATAAGACTATTTGAGGAGATTACAGAGCAATGGTTTGTACAGTGTTCTTTCAGTAATTCTTTGCAGTGTAAGGGGAAATAAACAATGTGCAGAAGGTACTGACCAAGTTATGAGCATTTATTTGGATTATAATACACACAAGATGCTAAAAAGTTAAAAAGAAATGGATACTGCTTTATCTGATCATTCCATCAAGTAACAGGGCTTCCTCAAAAGAAAATCCCAGGCAAGTAAGATTAACAGGAACTATTCAGTGAGCAATCAGCTAAACAATGGAAATTGGTGACGAAAAACAAAATAATCAAGGTTTAATTCTTCCTAAATCTTGGGATAATCCTGGATGAGCCACAAACCTCAGCTCTCTTTTTACGTAAAGGGAAAAGAAAGGGAACAGAAATTGTAATTGGCATTTTGGATACGAAAACAA